TTATTTATTAATCTAATTATTTATTTAGTCAAATGTCAATCGTTATGTTTCCTCCTTACTCTCATGATCTTCCCTTTCTACCACCTCCTCTTTTATTTATATCACTGACCTCCTTCATCATAACCATTTTAATAGTAATCCCCTGCACTACAGTCTTAACCTCTTCAAATCAAGGGTCAGTTATTATCGTTTCTCCTTATCCTCAATATCTTCATATCCTACCACTGCCCCTTTCAGCGTGGAACCACCTCTTAATTGCTGGTGTTCCCAAGTCCACTCTGACCCGGGGTGGTAGCACCTGTTAGGGTCCCAGCTATTGGCAAACAGTTAACCCCGAAACTGGGGTAAAATCACTATAAAAGTGTAAAAAAGGTTTTAATACCAGAAATACTTTGTAAAAAAAATTATTTCCAGCAATAAATTTTTGAAGGAAAAAAAAATATTAGCAACAATAAGTTTTTGAAGAAAAAATATTACCAACTATACATTTTTGGGGAAAAAATATCACTTTTGAAAAAAATTATTACCATTAATACATTTTTGAAAAAAAAATATTACCAGCAATATTTTTTGAAAAAATTATTACCAGCAATACATTTCTGAAGGAAAAATATTAAAGGACCTTCGTAAAGGACCGTGTCCGTGGAATCGGCTCGTCCGGAGATACGGAAAAGGTACCTGTAGAGCGCCGCGGCTCGGGCGGCGTCCGGTGCGCTTTCGGCGGCCCTGGAAAATCCGGGTCCGGTTTTCGCAGCTCTCGAGTCGGTCCGTACCCACCATCCGCAGCAGGTCTCCAAGGTGTACAGCCTCTCGTCGATGGCATCAATGTAGGTAAGGGAAGTCGACAAAATGGTTCCGTACCTTAGATTTTTGATAAAACAAAATATTACCAGCAATAAAAATTTTTCGGCATTAAATGATGAGGTTGAATGCCGTAAAACAAACCAAACCAAACCAAACCAAACCAAACCAAACTGCCCCTTTCATTCATATCATGCACCTCATACATCATAATCATTTTAATAGTAAATGACTTTCAACCCATTTATTAGGTGAAATTTAATATTTATATATAAATCTATAAAGACAAAAACATATCAGTCAAAAGATGAATCTTTTCCAAATTTACTACCTGTAGATTGCTAAGCGTCCACTGCGAAATACAAGAATCCTAGTGTGGATGACAAAGAAACTGACTTCCAGCAACATTCGACTAAGTTCCTGGCATTCTATTAACCCTTGTGCTCGCCAGATTTAAAGACCGTTGAGCATACATGCAGACCCCACTAAATCCTATGCAGACCCCACTAAATCCTATGCAGCCGCACTAAATAAACACTGCGCAATTATGGACGGCTTGGACCTTGTCTGGATAAATATACCCGAGCTAGAACCCCAGTACCTCCGGCAACGTCGTGTAGCCTTAGTTATTCAGGAGTTACACGTTATTAGGTAAGTGTCAGTAATTTTTTTTTTTTTTACCCAAGAGTTCATGTATTTTTAATAGAAGACCATATATAGTAGAAGTGACAGCTATTAGCTGAATTTTGTTCGACTAATTAGTCCAAATTATTGTATTTAGTCATTTTTAACTAATTTCGCCAATTTTGTTGTTTTGTTCTTTATATTTTAAGAGCGTTCCGGATTACGGCCGCATCACGTTGAAACACTGGTACTCGTACGATCGCCGGCTTGGATTTGGAAATCGGAGAACTGGGTTCGAATTCCAATCGGATTCGTTATATTCACTTACGTGCAAATACCCTTGGGAAAGTATGAATCCTCCTTTCCTCCCTAGCTATTGATGAATTAGTAGGATTTGTATCAATAAATCATTATTATCTACACCCAATTACAATCTAGAAATATTTTCTGGCTTTAAATAACATGCAAAAGGTTAAGGTTGATACGCCGTAAAAAAAAACAAATCAATCTTTCAACTGCTTACTTAACCGCATTTTTGAAGTAACTGTTGAGTTTTAATTATATTTTGGAGTTGTATGATCATCCCCACTTAGTGATAGTGGAATATAATTTTGATCGCATATTTTCACTATATAATGTACAACGACGATGATATTTCTTGAAGTCCTTATCTCTGACTCGCCACTGGACCGACTCACTGCAACGACAGTCTCTCTCTCTCTCAATGTCACTCTCGTCTAACGCCCAAGTCTCCCCAACTCAGCAAAACTCGCGTTTATATAGCAAACCGAAGGTTATAAGCCAGGTTGTTCACGCGCTTAACACGAGTGTAGCCATAAGCAAAGTTTAAATTCAGATCTATTTCAAATCTCTTAGTGGATAAAATGAATTAGTTCAATGTTCATTTCAATTGTCTTTTCGATGACCAAATTCAGCGGATACAACTTATGTTTAGATCAGATTTCGCTAGCGGTAAACATACACTGATCTTACCACCCCGGTCCAATTTACTTCAATATGTTTTTATCAAAAATATTATTTTCGTCTATTTTTTTTTTAATGACCCAAATTAAACATCGCCTCCTGCCCTTTTGCATCCATCAGCCGTCTCAGGTTTCATATATCATTGTTCTAGATTCTTTCCTATTAATAGCGCTGACACAGTTTGTAACTTTCATGGAATATCGTGTTTTCCATCTTCAATCAATAAACGTTATATTTGCGTGTGTGCATTCGTGTGCGTCAAACTCTCTCTGTTACATCTGCTTATATATCTTTGCCCCTGATATACATATTTGTTATGAGGCAGTAGCTGTCATTCTTGTTAGATATCGCTGGTTATTTTAGCTCGTCAGTATGTATGCACAGAGATGAAAATACGGATATTATTTTTTTTATCACATAGACCTTATCAAGTAAACTATTCCACGTGAAAAAATCTAGCATTTACTTCCTGCGTTGCATTCACACGGAATGGCGAAGGTAAAATCTAAAAAATTCTTCATTCTTTGTTTTTGTTCTTGCTTAGCGGGTCAGTAGCGAAATCTACTATCGGATTACATTAAAAAAATGTCCAAAAGCATTTGCAGGTGTGCACTGATAACAGATGCATCTGTGGCTGTGGACTGGATTTCAGGTACTGAGGTGTACAGGTGATAGCCTTCCAAATGCGAAATGTCACCTACTTATTTCGGGGAGGGTATTCGCGTTTTACCGCTGAGCTGATGACCTTTTAGAAATCAAACCAGCTTCAGACTCTAATACACAGATGACTGTATCACACGGCAATTTCTTCAGCGTCTATCTCTTTCAGAAACTATTATCGTAACTAGTGAGATATTACTTACCGTTTCAGTATTTCAAAGTTCTACAAACATTTGCAGAATATTTCATTATTGATTCAACTAATAAATACCTGTCAGAAACCAGTTAAAACACACACACATACACATACACGCGCGCACTCAAGAAAAGGTAATGTCACTAAATGCAATAGAATATTATTTGATTGATTTTGGGTTTTTTTACGACTTATCAACTCTTTGTAGGTTATTTAAAACCTGTGAAATATTTTTAGAATTTTTTTTTTGTGGGTGGGGAGTGAGATAATAATGGTTTAGTGATACAAATTTTACTAATTAACCCATAGCTGGAGGAAGAAGAGGTTGATTCATACCTTTTTCAAGGGTATTTACACGTAAGTGAATATAACAAAAAACCCAATTGAAATTGGGACTCGGCTGTCGGATTAAAAATTCCGAGCCATTATCTATTACACCACCCGCACCTTGTATTCTTAAACAGTCGCCCATCTAGGTACTGACCAGGCTTGACGTTGCTTAATTTCGGTGATCGCACAAGAACCGGTGTTTCAACAGATATCGCTGTCCTTTACAAAAAGTGTAATGGTAATTGATGCAGAGATGAATTTGGTGTGATGAGTTAAATTCCATCTTCCACTAACTGGGCAAACTTGGTCTCTCTTATCCAGAGGTGACAATCAGTCAAAAACAGTGGTTCCCAACCTTTTTTTGACCAATCCCCACCTAAAAAAGTCCTAAAAGTTCAATAACTCTTTCTTTAAAAATATTATAAAAAATGTTTTAAGGTGTAGGTTTTTTGATCGATTCGTTTTCTACGGTTTATCTACCCTTTGCAGGTTATTTAAAGCCAGAAAAATATTTTTAAATTGGAAGATTTTTTTGTTTAGATAATAATGGTTTAGTGATACAAATCTTACTAATTAACCCATAGCTGGTGGAAGAACAGTTGGATTCATAGATGTCGTAAGTGTATTTGCGCGTAAGTGAATATAACGAACCCAACTGGAATTGGAACTCGGCTCTCCGATGAACAATTCCGGGCCATTAATCATTACACCATCCGCACACCCAAGGTTACAGCAGCTGATATTCCTGAACGGTCACCCATCTAGGTACTGACCAGGCTCAACGTTGTCTTTAAGTCATCCCGTCTCACCTGCTATCCTCTTCCGCCTCACCTGCTATCCTCTTACGTCTCACCTATGAGGCGCGCCGCATCGTTTGGGAACCACTGCACTATTCAGAGTCATAATTTTCTATATATATATTTTTTTATTTTGAAGTCTCCACTACGTAGCTCACACCTTCGCTGTTGTTTTTTTTTTTTTTTTTTTTTTTTTTTTTGTTCTCCTGAGATCATATCTGTCAACAATATATCCTGGTAAGTGTTCTAGTTCCTTAAAGACTGTCTGGTTGCATAGGTTAAATAAATTCGGTGAAAAACCGCCTCCTTGTCTCGTACCCCCCCCCAAAAAAAAAACAAAAAAACAAACCGTAAACATTTGTGGTAGCCTTGTCAATTCCAAAGGATTTAGTTCATACATAATACTACATAATTCTAAAGGGTTTCCGCCCAGTACATGTTTTGGACTGCTGAAAATGTCAAAGATCGTTGTTAACTGGTAATATTGTTAAATTGTGTAGTAGTCAAGGAGCTTGTCTCGCAAGTCAACAATACTGGGTTCGTTGCTCAGGTGTCCTGCAAGGAAATTGATTTTGCTTCAAATCTAACTTCCTGCAGCACACATTTTAATGAGGAAAAAGGATTTACAATCTATTTATCTATCTTGCCTGTTCTTATCTATCTATCTATCTATCTATCTATCTATCTATCTATCTATTACGGTATTCGTATCGGCATATATATTTATAGTCTCCGAGATCATCGGTTAGCGATGGTCAACAAATAGCATAATCTCGCAGACCTTTGTTAGTATTGTTGAGTTTGATTCTCACGGGCAGCCACACGACGATGGCGTCGTCGTTCTATCTCAGTGAATATCGGGACAGACAAAGGGGGCTAGAACAAAAAAAAAAAAAAAGACAAGGAAACAATTAGACGATAAAATATGAGAATAAGTCAGAAAGTAAAGTCAATTTTTAAATTAAACGATATAAAAAGCAAAAAAACAATCAAAAAACAAAAACAAACAAACAAACAAAAAAAACAGAGAGTCAATGACGCGCAACGCAATGCGTGCGCATGGGATGACGGCTAGCTAGCCGCGAACAACATTCCATCGTTCAGTCGAGCAACGAGGTCAGATGTATGAACGCTCCAATCAGCGGTTGCACCATCGACAAACAACTCGCCATCGTGTGTTTTCGCTGGGCAGAGGGACTCAAAGTTGCTGTTACTTAATTACTGTATTCCTAGGTCCACTCTGACCCGGGGTAGTAGAACCTGTTAGGGTCCCATCTACGGGCAAGTAGTTAACCCCCAAACTGGCGTCAAAAGATTATGAAAGTGTAAAACTAGATTTTTATAGTAAAAATACCAGCAATACATTTTTGAGAAAAAATATTCCCAGCAATACATTTGATTCCTGAAAAAAAAAACTCTTTACAAAAATACGTCGATAAAACATAATCTACAAATTGATTTCTTACAAGGAATACATATTCTATTCATACGAACATATCTTAAAATTTTGTCGCCATTAAATACCCCATTGAGGTTGATATTGATTTTCTAAGCGTAGCTTAGATGTGGCACAAGGCTGAAAGTATGGGGCACCCAGTGAGGATCGAACTTACTGTTCAGTCGTAACTGTTTTAGCAAGATAAGCTTGCTAACCATTAAGTCATGCCATTGAGGTTGATATGCTGTAAACCAAATCAAACCAAACCTTCCCCACTTCTCAATTCCTCCAGTACTTTCAGTTTAATATCATTGTGTCAGCTTCTCTGTTAGAAAGCGTAAACCATTCCAGTTCAGGAAAGCCGGGAATAGTGGGTATGTGACAGTTACCACACTCTGATCCTAGGCAAAAAAATCAAACAGAAATTATCAACAAGTTTAAATATAAAAAAAGGCAAGAAAACCGTTTCCACAAATTCTTTTGTATAAATGTCAATCTGACAATTTTTTTGGTGTTTAATTTCGGTCAGTGGGAACCTGTTCAGCTTGTCTAACTGAAGAGAATGGGTGCGGGAGGTTTAGCTTACTAGTGGCGCTTACCGTATACACAACATCTTGGCACGCAGGTTGTGGGTTCACCTCAGGCAAAGGGCAACTAAATAAAAAAACAATAATTTTTTTTTAAGTAGATTTTTTTTCATTTTCTATAAGTAAAAAGTAAAAATACTTTTAAGGCGCAACAAGTTTTTTTTTTCCTTTTAAATTTCTTCTACATTAATCAACAGACTGTTTAGAAAACACAAAAGAACAGAGTAACAAGTTTTCCCTGCTTTCAATCTGTTGAGAGACTGTATCCTTAAAAGGCGTGAAAAGAGACTAAAAAGAAGTGTGGCTCGTAGGATTGGTGTCCTGTGTCAACAGCATTTGAAAATGACTGAGCTCAGCAGTTTGACTGCCATTATTATATATATGTGGAGGAGTTTTGCACGGTTGCGAGTGCTTGTTCAAGCTCAGAGATGGGCACAAATGTAGCTAATAATCAATATATATATATATATATATATATATATATATATATATATATATATATTTAAAGAAAAACAGACTACTTTAAGGTTCCATTATAATAATTTATTTCACCAGAGCCCTATATATATATATATATATATATATATATATATTCCGTTTATACATTTTTTTTTTTAGATATAATATATTTAATTAAATGCTCTGTTTTTGTTTTATAATTAAACAGTATTAATTACATTTACCGGCCTGAATATTCAAGAAATTTTGTTGAAAATATGTGCTTCTCCGACAAGAATCGAACATGTAACCAACCCCAAAGGGAACCAGCATTTGATCTAATGTGCTATTAGCCATCCAGCCACAAAAAAGCATCTGGTTAGCAAAGTCCGAATTACTGTTTATAAATACACACCTTCGACGATTTTTCTCGATCGATCATATCTGCTTACGGAATATATCTTAACATAAACAATTTATGTTAAGAAATGGATTAAGTCTGACAATTATGTTAATACAGAAATAACGTATAAACGGAAAATATATTAAAATAATTGTCTAACTTAATACATTTCATTTTATATATATATATATATATATATATATATATATATATATATATATATATATATATATATATCTGTGTGAACATATTGGTTTCTTTACGTAGGGCTGGTGCGATGTGGGAGCCTGATTTAGGACCCCGGGCAATGCTTTGTGATCCTCACTATCTTATCCACAATTTGCTTTTTTCTACCTACATTTATATACAAATGGAACTAAGTACAACTGACTATTAAAGGATGAACAATTTTAGCGGGTTTTGACGTTATTCTGGGATCACTTTTTTCCTCCAAATCTGTGAATTTGTTTTGCTCATGTTAAGTCTCGAAAAACACTATACAAAATTCACTACTTTTTTTATCCGTAATGTTGAATGCGTTAAAATTATTCAACTTTTTAACAACAAAATTTCAGGTTGATGTTAAAAAATTGCCACAAAACATTGTTGATTTATTCATGTTAAAATGATCTATAATGACATATCACTAATTTGTATTTAGATATATTGTATTTATATCTAATTTTTCTAGTTGAATTTTTCACCTATATTACATATGGTCCATTATTGTACATAATTAGCTTACAATAAAATCTGTATTTTATATGAATACTTGTTGTAACCAATTAAATGATTAAGAAATAACAAAACAAGAGGTTGCAGATAAATCGTGTATTGAACAGTAAATGCAATAGAAAAGTATTACACCACTTGTGTCGGTTGACCAGCGTTCAATCTATACTACTGTTCTCCCGAGTCTTACTTTCCTACTAATTTTGTAGTAAGTGGAAGAGTCAACAATAGACTCATTAGAATTAGGACACCACAATAATAACTTATGAAAATTGAGAAGCAGTAGAGTGAAGGCACCCGTATCATAGATTCGGGAGAGGGTGCCCTGTCTTTACGTATGTAAATACCTTTCAATGGCCCCTGCATCCACAGTGTTTTGAACCACCACTTTCTGCTGAATACATTCTGCTGATCGGGAGGTTGGAGCTTTTGTTGTTCCCAGGTCCACCCTGATCCGGTGGGGTAGCATCTATTAGGGTTCAAGTTATGGGCAAATAGTAAACCTCTAATCAAACACTATGAAAGTATAAAAATACATTTTTATAGTAAAAATACCAGCAATACAGTTTATATAAAAATACCAACAATACATTTTTTAAACAAAGCGTTAGTATCACTAGTACACAAGGGGCTACAGAGAGTGAGAGTAAGAGTAAAGAGGAGTGTTTAGGAAAAGGATAAAGAGAAGGACAGAGATCAAGGTCAAGGCATCAGACGATGGCGATTGACATTACATTTAAATATTTGAAGGTTATAGCTATTGATAGGAAGGGAGTTCTACTGACGGGAGGTGCGAGTTAAGCAGCTATTGGAGTAGAAAAGATGACTACATTTAGCCGTTTTGACAGTGAAAGTGTGGGACCGAGATGCCAGCCTAGTAGCGACCTTAAATTCATACAGTTTGGGAACCAGTGAAAGTAGCTCGTCGGAGCAGTTGCCATGAAAATACTTGTAGAAAAGACAGAGAGAAGTCACAGCACGTCTATGAGAAAGTGACTGTAGATGGGACCAATCACGTAATATTTATAGGGAAATTACCAACAATCCATCAATCAACATGAAAGAACTCTTTTATTACATTGTTCCATATAATATCCTACAAATTCTTAAATCAAACTGTATTTCAAAATATAACTTCAGCAAAATATAAGACACACATAACCTTCCCTCTAATATCTACACAAACATGTATATGCACAATATAATCTACCATCTATTCAACTGTGAAAACAGGATAATACGTATCATATTTTATTACTTCAAAGCTCTCAAGAAAATTATATTTCAGCATTAAATGACCCATCAGGAATTGATATGCCGTTAAGCAAACAAATCCAATTAAATCAAATCTTTCTGCTGAGACTGAAAACTAAACAGAAAACTAAATTTGATTCCTTGGCCTCAGTCTGTGACAGTAATACTGAGCTGAGATATATCTTGTATGTAAAATCATTATTACCATTAATTAAAAAAACATGAGAAATTCATGACCGTATTTTTGAAACATTTGCTTCAAAACGTTTTACATAAGTCTTACGGAAAAGAGGTCTCATTCTACAGAAGTGATTTTCAACCAATGTGCCGCGACACACAAGTGTGACAAGAGAAGATCTTAGGCGTGCCGCGAAAATTTTGTAATGGTCATTAATTAAATTATTTTCTAAAGAGGTCCAAAGCACAATAAGTTGATATTTCAAAATTAAAACCCCTTTAAATTGATTATTTGTTATAATAAATAAACTTATATATAATATATAAAGTGGTTTCAAATATTACAAAAACAAGCAATAGAAATACTTTTTCCGTTTTGAACGCCATATTTGTGCGAAACGAGCTTTTCAGCAATAAACAATATTAAACATAAATTAAAAGAAATGAAAATATAAAAATTGCGAAAATTTACCCATCGCTTCCTGTATATATTATCAATTGATAAAAATAAAAAACTGATTCACTACTTTAGAATCAATAGCATCTTATATTAATAGTAATTTTGCTATGGCAACATTAACCATTTCATTATCAGGAAACATTTCACTTTCACTGAACGAGAAATGCTAGTGTCGTTTGAAATTTATAAAATCCTTCTTTTCACATCGTTTT